TTGCTCTTGTATACATAAACTATTAAAGCTGTTCTTAGGAAGTTGATAGCCTTAAATGCTTATTTACAAAAGAAAATTCGTGTGCTAAGCATCCATCTTAAGACATTGAAATAATAATAGTTAACTAAACCCCAAATGGTCAAATTCGTGACCATTTTATATAGGATAGGACAGGCCAGAAACACTGGTCTTCTCTTAAGGGACTTAAGATTGTCAAATTTTAGCACTACAGTGAAATTATTTAAGATATTCCTTATGTTCATAACATGTGAGGCTATTTTTTTTTGTCATGATGGCAAAAAAAATGTTTTATAAAGGGAAAGTATTTCAAACTGTGTTCATTCAAAGTAAGCTATCAGTTTACACTGAATAGTTTGGCCAACCTAAAAAGTACCATATGACAAGGGGGAAATGTGATTACTTTAGACAACAATGATATGTTTTATTAAGTTTTTCATTTCTGTTGACTATTGAGTTTGTAGTTCTAGCAAAGGTATAATTCTAGAAAAAACTAGGAATCAAGAAGTTGTTTGGGCTTCCCTGGTTGCACAGTGGTTAAGAATCCACCTTCCAATGCAGGGGACACGGGTTCGACCCCTGTTCCAGGAAGATCCCACATGCCGTGGAGCAACTAAGCCCATGCACCACAACTACTGAGCCTGCGCTCTAGAGCCCGTGAGCCACAACTACTGAGCCCACGTGCCACAACTACTGAAGCCCATGCACCTAGAGCCCATGCTGCGCAACAAGAGAAGCCACCGCAATGAGAAGCCCGCACACCACAACAAAGAGTAGCCCTTGCTCACCTCAACTAGAGAAAGCCCATGCTCAGCAACAAAGACACAACACAGCCAAAAATAAATAAATAAAATTAATTAATTAATTTTTTAAAAACTTAAAAAAAGAAAAAGAAGTTATTTGAACTAGGACAGATAAACCTCAGTACATTATATAAAATGTACTCAGCTCAACTGCTGTGCTTAAAATACAGATTTTAGATCCCTCTTTACAGACATTGAAGTAAATATATCTCTCTGAGTTGTAAATGATAGTGGTTAGCAGAGTATTATATTGTCAATGTTAAACAAAAACTAAAACTGGAATGTACGGGGGGGAAAAGGAAACACACACAAAAAAAGAAGGAAAGAAAAAAGAAAAAAAAGAAGAAAGGAAATAATAAAGAACACAAATTAATGGAAAAGAAAACAAAATATAACATAGGGATTAAGAAAACTAAAAGTTTATTTTTTTAATTTTTAAATTTTTTTTGGCTGTGTTGGGTCCTCGTTGCTGCGCGCGGGCTTTCTCTAGCTGTGGTGAGCAGGGGCTACTATTTGTTGCAGTGCATGGGCTTCTCATTGTAGTGGCTTCTCTTATGGCGGAACACGGGCTCTAGGTGCGCAGGCTTCAGTAGTTGTGGCACACGGGCCCAGTATTTGTGGCTCGCGGGCTCTAGAGCACAGGCCCAGTAGTTGTGGCACGTGTCTTAGTTGCTCCACAGCATGTGCGATCTTCCCGGACCAGGGATCAAACCTGTGTCCCCTGCATTGGCAGGCAGATTCTTAACTACTGCACCACCAGGGAAGTCCCCAAAAGTTTATTTTAAAAAAAAACAAATGACTTTGACAAGTTTATGGTGTGTCTAATCAAGAAAAAAGAGGTAAGGCACAAATAACCAGTATCAGGAATAAAAACAAAAGACATCATATGGATCCTGAAGACAATAAAAAGGCACTAAGAGAATGATAGTGGCAAAGAGAGATCTTTATTCCAAACCTAAACTGGAATGGCATTGAAATGGACAAATTCTTTAAAACTGTATACCTATTATATTACATGATATTACCATTAGATAAATGTGATCTATAGTTAAATTTTTTCCTCCAAAAACAAAATCCAAACACAGATGTCTTTACTGGCAATACAACTTGAGAAACATCACTAAAGACCTAAAAGGAAAAGGAGAGATATACCTGCACCAGCAACCTCTCTCACGCTCACAGTCCTCCCCCTCATCCATATAGTCTCCATTCTCAGTCACACACAAGTGTCTTCAGCTCACATGCCACCCTATCTCTCTCTTCCCAGACAAAGTTCAGTGGTCCTGGTCTCCTCAGTGGCAGCCTATATTCCACTTGCCGTAAATATGACTGTCTGTGGCTCTAGGTGAGCCAAGAGGAAACTTGCTCTCATTTCATCTGGAAGATTGGGTGCATAGAGATATCCAAGGTTTGACAATTGCTCCTCAGGACTCCCCACATGCAGACATGACATCACTGGGTGTCACAGATCTTGCCTTTTACATAAATGCATTTAGTGGGAGCCTCTTACCCTCTTTTTCAGGCATTGTGATGATATGGAGGTGCTATTGGGATGAGCTCCCAGGCAGAACCCAGGAGATCCAAGTGACATTCCCTTATTCTCAGTTCTAGGTTATTTATCTATTTCCCTTTCTGCCCACAGAAAATAGGAGCCTACAGTGTCAGTAAAATGGCCCTGGTGGGACTCACCCAGACCCTGGCAGTGGAGATGGCATCAAAGAACATCTGGGTGAACTTCCTGGTGCCAGGAATCATCAACACAGACTGCAGTCAAAAGGTGAGGAAAAAAGGCAGCTCCTGGACCCTCCCACACTGTCCCATTGCTGTCTTCCCCAGGCAAGACCTTAGCCAAAGAGACCCACGCTTACAAACGTGGAGTTCTATCCTCAAGCCCAACACACCTAGATTCTGGTCCACAGCTTTGAGACTTGGCAGCTTCTGCCCACAATACAGGAGAATGGGTTTCAATTTTAGGGTTTTGATTCTTTAAGGGAGGGGCAGGGAATGTTCCCCCGCCCGCCTCACCTCTGAGCAGGGTCATGCTTCCACAAGGGCACGTACATGGTGTGGCTCCCAATGTAACTGCATCTGTCTGAGTAACAATGACCTATTATTGTTCTTTGCTTTAGCTCTTTGAGGACCCAACTCTGTGGAACTGTTTGGAAAGATTCCATGGAATACAGAGGTATGTTGTGATGAGGCAGTATCCATCCGGATCTGGATTAACGTGACCTTAGAAGCTTTGTGATGGATAAAAGATCACATGCCATCACTCTGCAGGCTGTTACCCGTTCCTCTTTCTGAGATCTGATCACCCGCCTAGCCCTGGGATGAGTATAAGTCCCTGCAGAGCCCATATATCTCCATTTGCAGCCCTCCACTCATCCCCATGAGGGTCTTGACTTCACAGCATCCCACAGGAGCCCAGAGCTCATGGGGAGGTGTCACCACTCTCAGCCCCACCTCCTCTTTCTGTGCAGAGTGGAGTGGCCTGAGGACTGTGCAGAACTGGTGTCCTTCCTGTGCTCTTCAGATGCCAGCTACATCACTGGCAAGAACATCATGGTGCCCAACTTCTCCCCCACCTCTGAGGGGTATGAGCTCAGAGCTCAGGCTTGCCTCTTGATGTGAAGGCCCCATGTGGTTCTGGGCCACCGTGTTGGAAAACCTCTATTACTGATGAGCCTGTGCTCAATATACACACTTTGAGTTCAGAATCACCAGAGTGTAAAATAGTAAAGAAAAGAAAAGAAAGTTTACAAAATAAAACTGTCATTAAGTATTTTCATTTTTCTTCACCCCTTTCCCACCTTGGTTATTAGGAACCGTGGCCTAACAAGAGCATAGTTACCAGGAGATCAGCATTCTCAGAGATGAAGTCTGGACCACCCCATTAGGTGAGCAGCCTAGAACAGAGGACATGCTGACCAAGGGTGAAGGGAATCTAGAAGGGGTATGGCCTGAGCCCATTTGCAGCTGTGGGCAGTTCCTGGCACACTGACAGTTTCTCAAGTACCTGTACATCCCTAGCACAATAGGAGATTGCTTGGTTGTACACAGATAACAAGCCAGAAGTACAGAGGAGTTAACACCAGCAGAGGTAACCCTCACCAATAGAGGATGGGAGTTGATGGATCAATGCCAGCCTCCCCACTTGGATTTTCAGAGAGTGCCAGGCAAGAATGAGGCCCTGTTACAGTGATAATTTGCACATTAATGTTGACTCTTTTCCCTCCAGGGTCTCACTTTCCCCACTTCTGTTTCTTGACCTGGTACATAGTTACATAGGCATTGGTTTTTATAACACTTCATTAAGCTCTACGTTTATGTTTTACATACTTTTTTGTACATATATCATGTTTCTCAATTAAATGTTAAAAACATAATAGGTGTGAGTAGGACTTTGGCTTTGAGTCATTGTAATACAAATAAAAGATTTCATAATTTGAAAAATAACAAATAAAATGACATATAAGTTGGAAGGGAGTAAAGAGAGAGTATTTTAGATTTTCATATTTATGTATTAGTCAAGATCCTAGCAAGAAACAGACAAACTCTTAAACTGAGTGATTTGAGAAGGTTTAATAAAAGTACCACTTACAGGGGGCTTCCCTGGTGGCGCAGTGGTTGAGAGTCCGCCTGCCGATGCAGGGGACACGGGTTCGTGCCCAGGTCCGGGAAGATCCCACAAGTCGCGGAGCAGCTGGGCCCGTGAGCCATGGCCGCTGAGCCTGCGCGTCTGGAGCCTGTGCTCTGCAACGGGAGAGGCCACAACAGTGAGAGGCCCGCGTACCACACACACAAAAAAAAGTACCACTTACAAAGGTGTGGTCAAGGTTTAAGGAAACCAATGGTTGGGGGAGGGGGCAGCACCTCTTCTAGTCCCAAAGGAAAAAAGGAGGGAGCAGATGCAGGGACTGAAAAGGGTAGCTGTAAGGAATAGGCCAACTGACAGGAGCCCTGGACTTAGGTAAAGAGTCCCAGCCCACACATTGTGACCTAGCAGAGACAGAGTTGGGGGAATAAATATCCAACCAGAGGCCAGAGGGAGCCTGTTGATCAGCCTGTACAGGTCAGTCTCCTAGAGCACAGAGCAGAGAAGGAAAGGGGGGAAAGTGGTTATGGAAGGATAAACAAGATGTCCAACTGGACTAGGAGGATGGTCAAGTTATTAACCTTAGATTTTGACAGTTAAGCTAATGTGTTGCAATTTCTATAGTAACCACTAAGTGAAAGAAAAGATATATAGCTACAAATTAACAAAGAAAAATAAAACGATTTAAAAAATCAATCCAAAAGAAATCAAGAAAGAAGACAAAAAGGGGACTTCTCTGGTGGTCCAGTAAGTAAGACTCCACACTCCCAGTGCAGGGGGCCCAGTTTTGATCCCTGGTCGGGGAACTAGGTCCCACATGCATGCCGCAACTAAGAGTTCATGTGCCGCAACTAAGCGTCTGCATGCCCCAACTAAGAGTCCACATGCCTCAACAAAAATCCTGCATATTGCAGCTAAGACCTGGCACAGCAAAAACAAATAAATCAATAATAAATCAATAAAAATAAATATTAAAAAAAGAGAAAAGGAAATAGCAAACACATAGGATAAGTGGAAAATACAAAATAAGAGGATGGATATAAACTCAAATATATATGTGAGTGTAAATGGACTGAATGCTCTACTTAAAAGATTATCAAACTGGATAAGGAAGGAGGTATACAAGAAGGTTGAAAGTAAAGGCAGTAGAAGGATATCACACTGTGTTGAGGTTCCCCAAGACCACCCTCAGGCTCAATGATTTACTAAAAGGATTCACAGGACTCAGAAAAGCTGTTATACTCATGGTTATAGTTTATTACAGTGGAAGGGTACAGATTAAAATCAGCAAAGGGAAAAGGCACATGAGATGAAGTCCAAGAGCAGCCAGGTACAAGCTTCAAGGTGTCCCCTCTCAGTGCAGTCATATGGGGTCATGCTTAATTCTAGCATCAATATTGAATATGTGCAAAGTGTTGTCAACTAGGGAAGCTCACCCAAGCCTTGGTGTCCAGAGTTTTTATTGGGAGTCAGTCATAATACGCTCACATGACTGATCTTAGCTACCCAGCCTCCAACCCACCAGAGGTCAAACTAACACAGTGCATCCAAAACCTCAGGCATGCAAAAACACTCTTATCAGGAAGAATATTCCAAGTACTCAGAGGTTATCCTCCGAGATGCAGTCATGTGAGGTGATGTGTTAATTAACTCTACAGTGGTAATCACTTCACAATGTATATGTATATCAAGTTGTCATGTTTATACTTTAAATATATACAATTTTATTTGTCAATTATACCTCAATAAAGCATGTGAAAATACACAGGACCAAAGCCCACACCACAGAGAGGTAAGCAGGACACCATTAAATCCTGGCCCTCTACATTTATTGGTAAAGCTCCTTATTGCTAGTAATAGTAATATCCTAGTACAGAAGAGGAGCAGGCAGATCAAATGTGTTGATAATTCAGGCAGCCACTAATAGGTTTACAACTCAGCACCTGTCAGAGCCAGGTTCACATTGGCCAGGCCCAGCCTAGCTCAGGCTTCAGGGACCCGCCCTCACTCTGAGGGCAAAGACCAGCAAGGATCTTCTGTAGCAGTCAATCCAGAGGAGCAAGTCCAGGCCAACACACATAAGGGAAAACCAAATCAAAAAGGATGTTGAGGACGAAGAGAATTAACCCAAGGTTGGCTCAAGCACAGGGAATCATAACCAGGCCTGTGTGCAAGGCCATGGAGGTAAGAGTTACTACCTTTAAACCAGAATTCTCTGTGTCTACCACTGACCACAGTTCTTCATATACTCTGGCCTCTCTGTGCCACAGCAGAATTCCAGAGGATTAGGATTTCTTGAGCCATTTCCATGTGCAGGCAGAAGTGGTTACCTCTTCTTGCCTTTGGCTCAGTGTGACCTCTGAATCTGGCTTTTCTTCAAATCTGATTCAGAGACGGCTACTCAGACGTCCTTACCCTTCTCCATTCATTCAGCTAAACAAACATGAAACAACTACTAATGTGGCGGCCATGGTATCACGCTGTGCCTTTAGGTCTCGAATGTTGATGTGCCATCGGTACACAGGTGGCCATTAAAGTTTAAAAAATCAAGAATGCATACACTGTAATGGAGAGAGAGACAGGTCTGCAAGGTCCTCTGAAAACTGTTAGTAGTTGCAATAACCATGGGGACTGAAGCCTCTGCATGAATATAACGGGGACTGGTGCGATGCTGACCATCCCATTTCCTCTCCCACAGACGTGGAAAGGCTGCAGCTTCAGCCTCCCTGACAGCTATATTGAAGCTATGGCATAATTTCTGCCTGTGCCTGTCCCCTAAAATGTCCCACAAGAACCTTGGCTCACCCTCTCTCTCCAGTTTGTATGGTTGGAAGTGAAGGATTCTGAAATGATGGAGTTGCCAGATAGAAACAGCCAGACTTCCTGAGTTTCTGCTTGAAGAAAGGCTGCCCAGGAGTGCCACAGACCCTGCATTGGACTGTGACACAAGCAAGAAATTCTTATTGGGTTAAGCCACCGAGATTTGGGGATTGCTTATTATCTAACACAGCCTAGCTTACCATAAGCAAGTGTGGAGGAGGAGGGTCAGGCAGCCACTTTTCCCCACCACTAGTAGTGACCTCGAGCATAGACTCCTTGAAGCCCAGAAAAAGGAAGGAATTGGACTCCCTAGGCAGGTCTTAGTTGGGGGGCAGGAGTCTCCTAATGGCCTCTCGCCTCCCTGGTGGCAGTCACTAGGATGGCCATGACTTCTCCTTCTGGCGGAATCCCTCCTACTCACAAGGGCTATGGCCTCCCCAGTTGACTTCCCAGGTGGTACCACCCGCCACCAACTTCAGGAGGAAGAACAGCTTTAAGTGAGAAGCACATGCAGAGACTCAGATGCCGTAATACTACAATGGACAGCTATCCACCAGGGCACGGGAGCTGGGAGCCTATTTCCAGAGGCCATCCAGGATATGAGTTAAGTACATGTAGATTTCTTTATTCCTCCTATTTAGAGCTTGCCCTGATCCTTCCTATAGCTCCATCCTAGCTATCCTGTGGCTTCATGCCCTGAAGGCATTGAAGCTATAAGCAGCTTCTTGGATGCCCTTCTCCACCCCTGGACACCTGCCTTGTTTTTTCACTGCAGTGATGTTGTTTACCAAAGGCTTATAAACTTTCTAAGCCTAAGGCAGTGTGGGGTCATTTGGCCATCACATAGGGCTATGGGATAAATTTCTGTTGAATCATTAGGGATAATTGAGAGGGCTTGGATTAGAGGCACACCCTTAGCATCTCCAAATCAGATGTGAAGAGAAACCAGTGGCCACACTAATCCTAAAACAGAAAGAGGACAGCTGATCCCACAGCAGGAGCAGGGGTTCCACAGACAGCTGCAGAGTCATGAAGTGCTGGCATAAAACTTAGAAGGAAGAACTCTTCCTTTCCCCAGCCCCACACACTGTCCAGTTATGTTTCCTGTGTCTGAGCCAAAATGCTGGAGATGCAGAATCATTAACCTTCCCCCAGGGCCTCTGAGGAATTGATACTCTCCGGGAAGGCATGACATTCCCAGGGAGACAAAGAGAGA